AGGCGTTAAGTAAAGATGGAAATCTTACCCGGTACTTTTGCCAAAATGAGCAGCCAGATCAAACTGTGACTTAAAATGAGTCAACGTGATACAGATGCCTGAGACGTTGCATCAGCGGCAGTATAATTGGATTTGGCGACACAGATGAAGACAACAACAGAAAACAGAAGAATGATTAAGTGCTTCAGTAGTTACCTTTAACTTGAAATCCGATGCCATTTTGTGTCCACTCCTTGAAGCTCTTTTTCTGTAAGTTTATAATGTATTTTTAAAAAACTTTTTAAGCATTTAAAGCTTATTGCATGTTTGAAATGATTCATTATACTGACGATGCCTTGAGCTGTTGAGATAAAACCTTTTTCTCCTCCTTACAGAAAATCTCAGTTGTTGCCAAAGCTGCTTAGTCTCATTTTGGTGCTGTCTGTTTGCATGTTTTTTTATATCGCTTTATACTGTATGTCACCTTTATGTGAAATATTGTATCCATTTAATTGTTTAATATTGTCCTAATGAAACATTTCGTGAGCATCTCCGATTTTCACAGCATTTTTCTTAAATTGGAAAAACCAACCTTAAAATCTCCCTTGACACCTTGTATCCTTAAAATGTCTTTTTTATACACATTTCTATCCAAAATTGAACTTCCCCTCACGTCCTTGAAAATCATATTTATTCATTACCTAAATATTGTATTATTACTTATTCTATTTTATTGTATTTTTACTGATTTAAAAAAAATCACAACAGTTTAAACATTTCTCAGAACTGCTCTATTAATCATGAATAACATTTTGAATTTCTGCTGGGCAGTAAATTTGACATAACTGGCGGTGCTCACTTTTGTTTTATGTTAACTGTGTGACCAGTGATAACTGAAGTGCCAAAGGAAAGAATTAAATAAATGCACTTTTGAACAATTATTAGTACTTTTTTCTTTAAAGTTAGTTTCTTGTTGTTACTGTTTACACACAGATCGGCTTTGCTCCTCATCTCAGTGGTTCACAACCTTGTCTGATGTACCTTCAAAATGTATTTATTTTATGTTTTCAAATTAAATTACACTATCTATGGTTTTGGTCTGATTTAGTTTAGCTCGACAACCCCCCCATATTTTATTTTTCCCTTAGAATAAGTAAGAACTCAATCTGGTATAAACCCACAGCTGTGCATTTACAACACAACTGGAGTGTTAGAGCAGCTGGATGCTGTTATGTCAATAAATTAGATAACACTTTGTTCCCCAACATCCCTTTCATTCTTCTTTTCTTAACCACAAGTGAAATCTGGCAGCTTCTGCTTCAGGAGAACCTGAACATTTGGACATTTTCGATGGTTTTCAATCTGCAGTTGCTGATCTGCTTAATTTAGCATCAGGCAGCAAAGAAAAACTTTGAGTTACCAGCGTGGCGTTGTAATATAATATCGCCACCATCCACTATAACCAGATAAACACAAAGTCAAAACACTGAAACAATTTTCAGACAGTGAAGATGGATAAGATATTGGATTTGGTGCTGGAAATATAATGACAATGTAAATTTAATCTGAAACACTTTATGACTAAAATACGTCCGTCTCACTGTCTGATGTTGTTTCCTCTGTCAGGATCTCTACACTCTTCCCTGAAGATCATCTGGCTTGTTTGGCTGCTGGCTTTGTGTAATTGTGTCTTCACCTGCTTGCTTGTTGTTCTAAGCTGCGTTTTTGTCATGTTTATTTTTGTTCATTGGAGCTTGCAGTTAATAATTCATAGATTTAGACAGTAAGAAAGAAGATAAAAGAGATGCAAGGGGTGCAGGTAACATAAAGACACTCAAGAGTCTTAGAAGTTCCGATAATGGAGGTTTTTGTATCAAAAGTCAAAAATGCAACATTCAGCCTGACTATAGAAATTGTTGTTTGAGATTTAAAGCCTCGGAAAAACAACAGCGGTAAGCAGACCTTTATTATTTTGTCAAACAAGTATTGTTAGATAACGGTTGAAAAGTTTGAAAATACCCATATAAAGTGCAAACAAGTAGGATCTAATATGTTCTTAAGTTTGAATGTTTTTGTGCATTGTTTAAAGATATAGTATAGTGTAGTAAAATATAGTAAAGGACAAAGTGGATGTGGTTTATCTGTTTTTTCTGTGCTATGTGAGGTGTTGTTGTTGCAGCTGTTGGCCACTGGAGGGCAGCAGCACTAAGCATCTCAATGCAGATGGCATCCTTCACCTCTGTCTTCATCAACACTGCAATTAAATAGTTTGGAGATGAAGTCGTTCAATTGATATTTCAGATCAAAAGCTGTACCTTTTATTATAGGTCTCCAATCAGTCTTTCCCTTGACTCAGAGGGAAAAGATTTGACTTCACGCTGAACAACAAGAGCTTAAAGCCTTAACAACAACAGAAGGAAGGAATCCAAACACAGACGGTCTGATGTCTGGTTGAAATTCAGAATCAATAGCATCACGCTTTTGTGGAATACAAATCTGATGCGTTAATAGATGATGCGTGTGTTTGACCAAACGGTTTTTGAGAAGAGACACCTCAACTCGGCTCAAACAAAGTCTGTCGAGCCTCCGAGCCCCTCAGAAGGCCGGCAGCCAGGTTCACTGAGAGGTCTGAGTGGAAAGTCTGCGCGTACACAGACACCAGCGAGATGTACTGTATTCATGTCACTTTCACCGACCCTGGACGTGTGTTTCTCCAACACCTCTGAGAACACTTGGCCATGAACGGCATCCACTGCTGTCTGTTTCATGTCCGGATGTCATGGGCTGTATTTGTGCCTATTGGAGAGCAGCATAAAACAGAGCTGCATTAGAGCCAGGCCTGCGGGGTAGTAAATAACAGATGATGTTCACTCTGGCCAGGTCTACATACCACTACTGTAAACAGTTTCTCTCTGAGTTATAGCTGTTTACTAAAAGCCCTTGCCTTTGTTATTCATATAGTATGTGGCAGGATGTTAGTCAAGTATACTATGGAGAGGAGTGATGGTGTTGGGTTCTAAAGCATGAGAGGGATGGCTACCTCTCTCTTCTTTAACTGTTGTCCAATTTAAATTGTCTTGCATAAGAGGTTCATCTATCATCTGGCTTTTGCATAATGTACGTTTTGGGAAGAGGGGATGCCATGTGTGGTTTAGGAGATAAAGTGGCTTGTCCACTAACCAAAGGGTCCGTGGTTCAATCCCTGACTCTCCTATTCCACATGCAGAAGTATCCTTGGGCAATATGAGCCCAATTGGCCCCTGACGGCTGTGCTGGCAGTGTATGATTGATATGTGATAGAGAAAGTACTGCACATAGATGGGCTATGTATATGAATGGATGAATGGCACAAAATGGTACTGTAAAGCACTTTGAGTGGTCATCAAGACTAGACAGCTCTTTATAGATACAGACCATTTACCCCCTCATGAGCAGGATTGACTTCAGAGTCCATAATAAAGATTGTAGCTACGAAATGGAAATGGTCAGTCTTAATGTTTTATTGCAATCCGAGTCAAATGCCAGAGCGAACAGGTGATAGGTGTATGAAATGTGAATTTCTTTTTTTCATGAGAAATAATGAAAGCCAGTGAATCAGACTTAAACTTTATTAACCAAACTAAACATAATTATTACATTCAAAAACAACTTTAAGAATGATTTTTCAACATAGTATAGAAGTCCCATTTCCAGGTATTCAAAAGAACTGTGCAGATTTTCTTGTCCAAAGTGCACAATGCCCACAATCACTCACTTTCTGCTTGTGTTTTGTTTAGATTGTAAATAATTGGTCACATTTGAAACAAGAATTAGGACCATAGGGTAACTAGTCACGCTTCTTTACTACAACACAGAGTCAAGATAGAAAGTAAATATGCACAAGATGGACAAACTGATAGGTATGTCAATTTCAAACATTTTATTCCTTCCTAATATTCCATATTTTAATGAATGATGTTCATTAAAATGTTTCACACTTTGGGAAATAAACTCGCTCTCTGACAGAGTTAGATTAGAGGATTAATACCACTCTTGTGTTTTATCTGCTAAGTGGCTTTAACTAGCGGGCGGTTAGCTCAGCATAGCATTAAGACAGGAAACACATCGTAGTAGCTCAATTGTTTTAAACCTTCACTGTAGTTCACTTCAGTAAAAGTGTAAAAGTTGTAGGTTCTTGTAGATGGGTTGTGCTATATTGTTGCCAGATTTACGATAATAATCTTATTTGTACGATAATTTTGCCCTCTGTACGATCAATAATGCATGATGTACGGTAATTTGATCATTTTGTATTATCAGTCTGGATAGATAGTCTGTGTTTATGCATCTCTTCTCGTGTGACATCTTTTTAGCTAATCATGCTTGTGATGATGAGATCAAATAGATCAAAACCTTCACTAAGGTGTTTATCTACTATCTCAGGTCAAAATGGCTGCTGCGAAAAGGGTCTGAGGTTTTGGCCATAGCTTTAACACAACACTGACAAATCATCACCTTTGAACTTGATCAGTTGAAAGGAGCATGATTTAGAGTTTTGTCATCTGTCTCAATATAACACCGCTTTAAGCTCTCTTTGGTCTTAAACCCCAGAGGGAAGTACCTGGTTTATACAATTCTGTTTAGCGGCTGAAGGCTCCTCTGTACCAGCCTGCTGTCTGTCTTCCTTTTGATGCTTGAAGAATATATTTAGAGGTTTTCAGGGACATTCAGAAAACGACACCAGGGCGGTGAGAGGAAACAAAAATACAACAGAAAAATGTGTTTCTCTGTGGAAAATTATATTATGAGGTTGTACTATGAGTGACTGTAACCTTTCACATGTCAGATTGTCATTTGATATAATTGCTATTAATACAACTAGGCTTTAACAGCTTCTTTAAGTAAAAGCTAACATGCAACGACCAAATACCCGATTACAAGGAAAGGTTGTACTTCCAACAATTTACTGAGTAAGGTAAATAGTACATAAGTATTATCAATAAAATGACTTTACTTGAAAAGTACTCTGATAACTGGTGCATTCAAGTGTCAGCAGCATCTCAGTGCTGTAACAGGGTCAAAGATTAACACATTTTTAGAGAAACCTTATTACTACTACTACTACTACTACTAATAATAATAATAATAATAATCATTTGTTGTATTTTGCATGTAAAATCTTACTTACCCTAACTCAGATAACTGTAATGGAGGAAAAAAAAGTTTTCTTCCTGAAATGTATTGAATTATATGTGTTCCAGTAAGTGGTATAAAGTAAAGTACTCAAGTATGTAACTGGTATTGATCTTCTCGTTTAACTCTCTCGCCACAAAGTACTTGAGCAAATTTCCCAAAATATCATCAAAGCGGTTCCTTCAAGTGAAAATCAGCTGACACAACCACAGAGTCTTTTAGGAGAATAAAGTTTTCTATAATCTTTGACTATGCAAACAATGTAATATTCATACATTTCCGGACACTGTAGCCAGACATATAAAACAAACAGTGACAATTCTTTATAGTAGCATGGACAAAATAAATAAACCTCATAATGTACAGCTATAATATAACACTCATCAATAGCATTTTTCTATCAAAAATCTTTCACAACATTGTATTTCTGGTAGGTCATATTTGGTCTGAAAGAAAAAAGAAAAACAGGTGCAAATGTAAAGGCTGGTGGGGGGGCAGGGCTCTTAAGCACAACAAAATTCCAGTATTATGCAACGCGGTGACATCAGGGAGGAGGCGGTAATTAAGCGTTACATCTTGAGCGGCGGATTAATTCACACGCTGATATTACGCACTCTGAAATGTCAAACACGACAGCTTTGTATCGATAAGTTCTGCGGTTCCACGTCAGCGACATTACAACCACGTCAGAGCGGCAGAGGCATGATGATGAACCTCCTGACCAAAGTCTTTCTCAAGGCACACGAGAAACCGTCACCATTACGCAAATGGAGCACAACACCACTGAAGAGGACGAGTTGACAAAGCTTAAACCCCTTGAAATCATTAAAAACTAAAACAATTAGCACCTCACTACTTAACAGAGTTACGGTTCAGCGAGGCCAAAGCAACATCTGGAGAACGCTTGTATTTCTCCACAGTTTTAAGCAGGACATAATGCACGAGATTAGACGAGTGAAAACGTCCTTGGAGTTTATTTTCGTCGTCGGTGAGCAGCACTCAGGAACTGATATGCAAATGAAATTCTCACAATAACAAGCTACATCCATGTCACCGACTGCACACGTACTGAGACACATCATCAGAAAGCAACTATTCACGCCTTAATGTACATTATGAAAGAGGAGTGTGTCACCTGAAGAAAGCAAAGATGTTTGCAACTGAGTGTATTTTTTTTCTTCTCGTGATAATGAATGAATCTTTTGAATCCAGCTGGAGATGGTGGAAGTCCCACGTTTTACAGGCCGTCATTCAAACCTGTGATGCGTCTGGTTTGCCTGAGTGAGCGAGCAGCTTTCTTTGCGTTGAGACGATAGGCAGATGAAGCTGAAGGTGCCTCTTCCTCCACTGTCCACATCCCAAACTTACAACCTCCTCTCTCCTCCCTCGCTCCCCTCTGCACTGATTTACATCCTCATCTCACCGCAAGTGTGACCTTCTATGGTGACAACTTTCACACTTTTTTTTTTTTACCCTTCGCACAATCGCCCCCGTCCTCTAGTCCACAGAAGCACGGGCGGTCGTGAAAAACACTTCATTTATTACACAACAGAGTTAAGGACTCCTGCACCCTTTAGGTTTAGCCATTTATTGTGTTTTATTGCAGAAGGGAGCGTTTTCATTCAAAAATTACCACTGACAAAATCTCTCTTTCTTTCTGCTTTGACACAGGTAACTGGAATCACTCTGGAAATCAGATAAAACAACCTTGTCTTGATTTTTTCTCACATTTAGAATTGATTCTCACTGTAAAACAATACTTTTTGACCCGATGCTTTCTGACAAGCAGAGCACGAGCAGCTGGAGGAACCACAGATTTATTCTCCTCGTTTTCTTCCGCAGCTCTGGACAATTTTATTTCTTGGTAAACTGGCCGGCAGTGAAGCGATGCCATGGCCAAGAGAATGAAGGCTTATCAAGCCTGTAAGTAGGACAGATGCCTCTACAGATTGTGCTTTCTCCCTCCTCTACAGACGCACAAATCACAAGAGTTGATGGACGATAGTGGGTCGTGGTCCAATCTGCTAAGTTTTTGACAGTTTCTGGTGAATCTCATGAGCGTGTCTTCACAGGAAGCCACCGCTCTGAGCTTCCTGCAGTTGTGCATTAAACAGAACATACACACAAAGTCCAAATGATGGAGTTTAAAGTCCTGCTGTAAAGTACCTGAGCCAGATTGCACATACAAATAACCGTGGTTTTCACTTGTGCTGTGTCCGTCTTTACAAAGTCTTACATGGCTTTGACAATCTCTGTGAGCTGGACCTGAAGACGCCACACACGCCTACGTGCTCCTGTAGGTCTTGATGATGTCTTTGATCGTCCTCCTACAGATGGGGCAGCACGCGTTGGCCATCTTCTTGAGTTTGAGGCCACAGGTGTAGCAGAGACACATGTGTCCGCAGGCGTAGAGCACCGTGTCCACCACGTTCTCGTAGCAGATGGTGCACTCGTCGCTCCACGAACCCGGGCAGGGTGGGAAGGTCGGGGACTCTGGGTGGCTGGAAAACGGAGAGCTCGGAGTTGTACCTGAGGTGACGGGAGAGACAAAGACATTAGGGAGGTGTGAATGAGTTTGAGGGAGAAAACAAAATGAAAAAACTGCCAAAAAAAGAAATTGGAGGAAAGCTTCCAGGGCGTTCAGGCAGACAACACACTCTGACACCCTCTGATCGCTGCAACACATCAACGCAACTTTTATTTAGGCTGTCAATATGCTGTCAACTGTTATTCTCTGCTTATCAAGTGTCAGGAAAACTTTATGGAGGAATAATGAGTCTGCCCTGTGATCCTCACTCCCTCTGCCGCCATTTTCTTCCAGGAGTTTTTCCTGCCATACTGTCTCCGCAGATTTTTGGGATCAGTGCTTCACATCACCAAGGTAAATATTTACTTAGTCTGCTGACTTGCATTTTGCTTGTCGATGTCTCTGTGCTGTTTAGCCAGTGTTTGTGTGCTTCTGGCTGTTTTATTGCTCTCCTGCATGTCTGCATTTTAATCAATTTCATAAACAAAAAAAAGGTAAACAGAAGAAAAAAATCTAAACAATCCAGACGGGGACATAGCATATGTAAATACGTGAATTCACAGAGCGTGACATGGATTTTATAGATCCAGATCCTTTCCAAATGAATATTTGGTGAATCTCCCACCACTGGTGTAGATAGCCTCCAGCGGGGGATTATAGGCAGGGTCTGATTGTTCAGACAATAACAACAATCCTGCGGGAACTCAGGGAGTAAATAATGAAAAGAGGAAGGAACAAATTGAACCACATAAACAAACCTGTGGACGAGGAGAAGAGTGTGTGGTAGTTGGAGTTGAGGCTTGAGTTGAGGTTGTTGTTGAAGGGTGTGTCGAGGCTGGGCTCCGAGTTGCCGCTGCAAAGCATTGTGGGGATGTTGGGTTTACAGGACGGGGAGCTGGGCACGGACAGACCTCGGAGGTCTGGGTGCAGAGACGAGCCTGAAGGTGCAGAAAGAGACGTTGTGGTTCATCAAAGTTTCATCAACATACAGAAAATGTATTTCCATTATTCAGCGAGGTTGATCAGAGCGAAGAAATGAGAAGAGCGGAGGAGAGTGGATGACATTAAATCTGTTCTGTCGACAAACAGATGCTGTGAGACCTCTGTGCATGCGTGGGTGTGTGTCTAGGGTGACCAAGATGTCTCAAACAAGCGCATTAATAGAAAATATGAACGCAAGAAAACACAAAGTTTTGTTGTCGTTTTTGCATTTGTGTTGTTGCTTTAGCAGCTTTTTTGTGGCTTTTGCAATTATGTTGTTGATTTTGCAGTTTAGTTGTTGTTGTTTTGAGGCTTTTGCATTCGAGCCTATGAGTTGGTATCGTCTCGTAGGGGACACCAAACACCCTCCTTCCTCCCTCATGAGCCCATGATCCCTGTGGGTAGGGTACGACACGCTTCTATGGATGAATCTGTCATCCGTCCAGTTTGATCCGTCCCGAGCCTCACCCCATAACCACCGGGCTCTGGCATCAGTTCTCACATTGGCAGCTCGTCTCTCCTCACAGACAAGAATACTGACCCTGATTCCACAAACAAATTCGGATCTAGCTTGGCCTGGCAGGCACACCAGTGCATTGTTGTTTACACATTGTCCTTCAGCTGACCATGGTAGAAATATTTCCACACTGTCAGGCTGGCAGTTTACTTGGCACCAACATCCTTCCATGTGTCAAACTATCTTATGTTGTAGTTCACGTCCTATCCCCCAATGGACTTATCCAAACCGTCCCTGCAATGACAACGTGGAGTGGACCACAGATGGTGAGAAAATAAAATACTGACATGGACATTCGTGTGGTCTGTTGTTGGAACAAAAATGTATGCAGTCAAGTTGCATAACTCCTCTGATCCATCGCACTAAAGTCTGATGGCTTCTCTCTGGACCACTTCAACCACTGCAGTCTCACTTTCAGCGAACATAAACAAACTATAGAAGCCTTTTATTCATGCAGTCAGTTTTCTGCATCAACAGATGATGTCAACAGACGTCTGCATGCTCACAGGACGTCTGGTCATCCATATAAAAATCTTTCCATTATTTGTTTCCATGTAAGTTTAGTACTGAGATTAATTATTGTTCCACTTTGTTGAGACATACTTTTTTTCCCCCTAGAGGCATCTATTCATTTATTCCTCCTTTACCTACTTAACGTGACCTATGTGGCAGCCCGGCTGTTAGCGAATGTCCCGGTCACCTCTAATAAGGCACAATGGATAACCTTCATGTCTATTCATGTACCCTTTCATCAAGGGTACCTCTCATCTTCCCATCTATTATGAATTTACCGCTGCCTGTGCCACCAGGAGGGAGCATGTGAATGTCTTCAGCTATGCAGGCAGCACAGGAGACTTATTTGTGGTTGAGTGGGAGCTTTCAACGCTTGCTTATCAAAGAGAATCTAGAGAATTCGGCTCACCCGCCCATCAAGCAGATTTATTTTCTGTTTGTGTCATAATAAAACCTTTATCAGCTGTTTGTTGTGGCACAAATGGACAATAACAACAACCATCAACCTTCTACGTTGACAAAATTATTACCTGTTAATTTACACATCCAGCAGTTACTGAGTAACATTAGCCTTTACACCACTACTCTGTACTAATACTAGACTACTCTCCAAAAGTGAAGTCAAAGGGTCTCAATTGCCCCCTGGTGGTTGGCTGCAGTACAGGTCATAACCCCATCCTCCATGTTAGTGGATGGAACATGTGTCAAACTAAAAAAGTCATAGTGCGTCAAAAAGAGTTTTCTCAAAGATGATTTCTGTCATTTTGGGTAGTTCTTATTCATTTTCCCAGAAAGTTTATTTTTAATTAGTTCTATAAAAAAAGGTAAAGGTTCCACACTCCAGTCGCTACACCGCAGACATTAGCTCCAAATGTGCATGGTTTCTGTTAAACCCTCCATCTTGCACAGGAGTCCTGCTTAAGTCTGTGCTCTAACACAATCAGCAATCACTCTATTGATTAGCTAATCCAAAACCTTGTCAGGCTACTGATTGGTGCAGGGTTCAAGGGTGTGATTTAATTAATCCTATTATAGTCCTTTTAAATTTGGTTCAGGATGATTCAACCAGAAGATTCAGATCATAAAACAAGAGCTGAAAGTTGCTCAAATGCTTCAGAGAGCTGTGTGGAGCTGCAGATTTGGGGGGTAATTCTCTGTAGGTTTATCACTAAAATCGATCTCTGTCACATAATCATACAATGAATAGTTACTATAAAAGAAATTGTAAACCCAGATGAAATGTGAATATACATGACTACTGTCTGCCCTTATTGATTCTCAGTCTCTTAGATTTGATTATAAAATCAGTATTTCTGGATCACACAGACAAAATGACCATGTGAGAGAAGCAGACTCCCATCTGCTCCACTTCACAGGCTCGACAGCACCCAGCCATGACAAACTGTCACTTGCCTCAGTGGCTAAATGTTTCCATGGCAACTCATGGTGTACGGCTGCAGTGAGTGGGTGAGCAGAGATGTCACAAATGCTTTCCCCACAGCTGGAGTGGGTAATGACTCAAAGAACGCCCGTACCCCAAAGAATCAAGTGTGTGGGGGGGGGTGCACATGGAAAAGAGAGGGACCACGGGTAAAAGGGAACGGACTGTGGGTGGAAAAACCCGGCATCTCAAACCTCCATGCAATTACAATTTAATAATGCACATGGAGGGCATCATGAGGAGCAATCACTGGCCCCCTCCTGATACATAATGCTGGCTGCTGGGAGCCCACGCAAGACAGAAATAACCTCCTCAGCCCTGACTAACTAGAGAGAGAGGAGAGGAGGAACTGTAATCAAGAAATGATTTGGAGGAGAGCACTGGAAGGAAAATATAAAATACAAACAAACACATTTTAATCACCTGTGAAGGTTTTCAGAAAATGCCATCTATCATAAATTTCAGAAGAAAATATCCACAACCTGCTTTGACAGGATCATTATCGTATTGAGTCGGGATATATCACCTCATATGGATGAACTGTATCTGTTGAACCAATCAAAAGCACTTGTGTTCTCTTGCTCACAGTCAAGTGACGCTTCAGCTGTAACTTATGAAAAATAGAGAATTTAAGTGCAGGACTCTTAAGACCCATCAAGATATGCTAAATATTTTAAACTTTCAAATGTGGTGGTGTGGTGAGCTTATTCACGTCTTCACTGAAGATGTGTGCATGTACGTCAAATGTTCAAGACTCGATATCAGAGACTCAAGAGTGTTTTGAAATTCTCCAAACTGTTATTACTGCATGCACAAATACAACATCTGCAACAGTTAAACAATAAAATTATCTGAGGATCTTTGCTGCAGGACAAACCACAGAACTATGTTTTCTCTACACATCATAAAAGGCAAATCCGCATATTTGTGTTACAGCCTGTGATCATCACCGCAGCATTCGCATGGTACGCAACATGGTTTGATATTCACCTTCAAAATAAACCGCCTACAACCACTGCTCGTCATTAAACCTTCATTTCCAGCAGCTCCAGAACCTGTTAGCCGTCTTAGCTTCTTCTGCTAATTTTGAGCACGTGATTAACGTCAGGCTGCCTCCAGTTAATGTTGCGGCATGGAAATCCGCTGGGATCGAACCGCGCGGACAGAAACTCTGTTCAACCGAAGGCACAAAGTTAACATTCATTTGCAAACTGTGGGGGAAGAATGAGATATATGAGTTGATAAAAAGTCAGAGAGCGGCGCAGGCTGCAAATTCATGACTCGGCTGAGTGGGAATTAATCCTCCAAAGGTTGTTCAAGGATAAGAGACTGCATTACCCTCTGGAAGGAAAGTTACCAATGACATCCTGTAAAGATCTGAGGAAAATGTTTCACTTAATATTAAAAGTGTAGGTAAAACTGATGCTGATCCGAAACTGTAGGTTTGTGTTTGTACGTTTTAATTTTGCTCGGACAAAATCTGGTATTCCTTTGTCTTAAATAGATGAGAGTAAAGACTAACAAACTTATTTAATCCAAAATCTTATGAAACAACTGTAAATTCGCCAAATAGTAGAGTATTTCCAAAAAGTATCGAAACTCAGTGTCACCTGACTACAAGGACATCTCAGATTAAAGACTTATTTTTCTGTCTTGCTTGTGGGTTTCCTTCAACTTTGTGTCCCTGGTTCCAAGAACAAGGGGAGGATCCCTCATTGATCTGAAGAGCAATAAAAAGGTGCTGGAGATGAATGAAAGTTAGTGCTCATTTATGAGGATAATGTTTGTCCTGAGGGGATAACAGGAAAAGGATCACAGTCTCCTTTTTGTGAAAAGCCTCCTTATTTGTAAATTCAGAATTTTGAGAACTTTGTACTTTTGTACTTTGTTTTGCATTCCAAAATTAATTGGAGATTATGAAACTGGATTATAAAACATCATAAAATCTGTTTTGAAAAAGATCAAGTGAACGTACCTAAAATCCTGAGTTGTGTGGCGGTGCCGTGCAGGCCGTAAAACATCCAGAGGGGCCTGGAGTTATCTACACACAACTGCATCCCTGCACTGATGCCGTTATGGCTCATCATGACCTCCCCGTCTGAGTTCACCACAAAGCCCAGGATATCTCCACTGTGGAGTGGCACCACCACCCGACACACGGCCCAGAATTCCTTGCGGTCCACCAGGGATTCTGGGTTTGATGGGAGGTCGCTGGGCCGCAGGGTGGCTGGGTCGCAGGACGTAACACCATAAGACAGAGAAGCAGGCCGCATGACGCCCGCCTTCACCTTCACGAACACAGTCTCTGAGCAGCGCATCGGCCGGCTGGTGAACACCAGGGTTCTCTCATCGCCACGGTGATCCAGCCGTCCAACAGTGTGCTTATCCAGCATGGTAACGTGGATGCCGTGCACCGAGTGGAAGTGCAGATCAGTGTCCAAATGGCTGGGCAGCAGTGAGCACTGCTGTGAGTTTTGAGAGTTTTGGGGCACGTGGCACGAGGCAGAGCTCAAGGGCTGCAGTCGGTCGTCTTCCTCATCGTCTTCCTCCAGATGCATCTCCTGGTGCTGCAGGCTCAGTTCGCACAGGCTGATGGAGAGGTGAGGGTCGTCGCCACTTCGCTGAATAGAGGCCTGGTGGGTGGCTGCAAAAGAGCGAGGACGCAGGCAGTCCACAGGGACCATCTCACTGTCTGTGGGAAAAAATAAACACAGGAACGTTATATAACCACTTGTTTGTAGTCTTCTAAAGTAAATATTTCACTATGAATGAGCAAACAATGTCTTTTTTTATAGTCTTTTTTAATAAAATATCTTTAGTTGGAAGATGGCTTCCTCTTGAAAGTCCAGAGAACCCAATTTAAACCATGCACTCACTCATCATATGGCATATTCCCATGTACAACACTGGTTTGTTTTATATTCCCTGCCTGTACACTGTTCATTCATCATACCTGTCACTGTAAACAAATGGAGGCCTCTGGCTCAGTTTTATAACATATTCATTTTCATGCTCTCTCTCTGCACTAAGGGCTGCAGTTGAACAATACGAAGAAATACGTCAGAGTTCATATGTTTAGAACATACCAGGACTTTAAGTGGGGGTTTTAGTGTAGCTGAAGGCCAGAGGCTACGTCACCGTGAAAGGGACATGACAGCTTTGTGTAATGCTGAGGACATAAGAGATGCATACAACCGCTGTACACTGAAAAAGCTCTGCTGTGTTTGAGCGTCTTCTGCCCTGAGTCCTATTATTTTCACTTTTAAACGCAAGAGCCTACAAGGTGTGGAAACTGAGCCATATATATATATATATATATATATATAAACATATTTCATTTATTAAAAAGGCTTTTTAATGAAGCCAGTTGGTTTCCAGTCATAGCGTGCAATGTTTGTGCCGTCTACGCTGGGTTTCAAAGAGCCGTAATGAGCAACCACGAGTCGTAGGTGTTTACATTACAGTGTTTCAGCGGCAGTGACTTCATGTACTGTATTCTACCTCCGTGCACTGTCAACATTTTCAGTTACGTGTCTGGATGCTAAATGCAGCTTTTTTTCCGATCATTGAAAGGGAAAGGCATTCTGAAAAGTAGATCAAATGTCGGCTCATGCTGGATAGTGCCCCCCCTCCACAAAAATAGCTCTCCCTATAGGCTAATTCTGCTCACTGTAAAATAGAAAGCACATGGCTGAGCATCGAGAGAGAAAAAAATGGGAAAACAGAAAGAGAGCCTGTGTTTCCATGCACACAGTCGGTACAGATGGATCTGCATCACGGCACGCTTAGGGACACACAGCCAAATTTAACACAGCTCTCTAACGCAGGCTAAAATTAGCCTAATTGGACATTTGAAGAGAGCGAAGAGGGACAGGCCGAGGGATGAGTGACACCATGGCTGAGCTGTGTGGCTCTCAGTCTCCGTGGGCTCTGGGCTTCCCCTATGGGAAGTGGCTGGAGAGTGTGACAGAGGAGGGAAGGATGAAAAATAGGGTGGGGTGGACACTTGAGGGAAAGGGCATACCTCACGAGCTCCTCTTTATCACACAAAGACAGCACATCTCCGGCCAGCCGCTGATAAACTGCTTGAACTTAATTACTTCCTCAGTCAAGAGTGTTCAGAACCAAGTATAGGACTCTTATTATTAGCACCCTTATCATCTTCAAGGCAAAGTTAGCCGACTTTGGGATGCAGGAGATAATTTCTATCCGTGCTGCTATTACGGCTTCCTGCGTTTTCTGTTTTTCTGTTTTTTTAGCGGCGCAACAGTCAAAACAAGCGGTGAGGAGAATCGCAAGTTTTCAAGTAAAATTCGATTTATTGTGGGAGGGAAAAAAAGAAATAAAAGTAGACAAAACCACAAAAGACAAAGAAGTGAGCCGAATAAATATGTATGACCTCGTCCTGGGTTTTGTCTTGCAGGAATCTGGGAAAGAATTTCACACATAAAACATATGACAAATATGAAAAGCATCAAGTCACCGAGATAACGCAGCTTGAAATACACAATTCACTACGTGTTCATGTGAGCACACCAACATTCATGTCTGCAGCATTCATGGCATGGTCGCATGCACAAGGGAGCTGTTCAGTAAACACACACACTTAGCAGAGACATGGCTCCAACAGTCCTATTCAATCTGTTTGTATATCATTGGAAACAGGGCGCTGGTGCAGAAACAGGTGCTTCTGTGTTTCTGTATTAGTTCTTCTAATTAAAAAAAAGGAAATTACAATTTGATTAAAAAGAGTCTGCTATAAAGCAACACCACAGGTTACAATTAAGACTGTGAAAAACAAAAGTGAAGCCAAAGCATCTAAATTGCCCCCTGGTGGCTGGCTGCAGTATAGGTCATAAACCCCGTCCCCTCAACTAAATAGTCAAAGTACTCGTCAGAGAAGTTTTTCTCAAAAATAATTTAAAAAGTCGCACTGATGTTTATTCAAATGTTAATTTAGTTATTTGATGGTATAAAAACAAGGTGATTGACAGCTGAGACTGACTCATGATTGGTCAAGCATGTGTAGCAGTGGGACCTTGATATCTCGGCTCCATTCCCCAACTCCTACTGTGCAGACTCTGGCTCCAAATGTGCTCTTTTGTATCCAGGATATTTTGGCTTCATTTCTGGACAGTGGGAGGAAGTGGAGATGCGTCATCCATCTTTTTAAACAGCCTTTGGTTTGAAAAGTATCTTAACTTAAAGTATCTGTGGTTGAAGTAGCTAAAAGTAATTGATTAGTGGTTAACTTGTTACTCAAAGTTGTTCGAATACAAACCTGAACCAACGGTGACAGAATGCATTTTAATATTGTAAATAATTTAATGATTTTTTTTTCTGAACTAAGTGACTGTGCAGGTTTTAAGTCACTGACTTGACGTTACACAATCTGTTACATAACCGCAAATAATAATCAGCTTGTTCTCTTTTTTTAGCAGGGGCGTAAACACCCTTTGTTTAGAAGCTAACCTTCCAAACTCTTCACATATTAGAATGTCCCTCACACTCAGACAATGTCAACGTGCAGTTTTGTCTTTTGTCCTAAATCATGTTAGAAAATTAACTATAATACCCATTGAATTTTTTTAATAGTTTTAACATTTGGCACTGCTCCAGTGGTTTTTCAATCACAAGCGCTGAACATAGTGGTGATTATGTTCTCTTTTCAAATGTCAAACTTCAAGTCCTTGAGGCTTTTAAATACCAAGGAAAAAGTCTGAATCCCTTTTCCCAGGCATGTAAACAATACAGATGTGATTAACTGCATGGCTGAGACTGCCCTAGTAAAATTAAGTGGTCTTTGAACAGTTCCAGCTATTCAATCTCAAGGGAAAAGCTCCATTTAAATAGAGGAACACATACCAGACTGACACTGTTTAGCGGGGTCAGTGGCTGACCTCTTACGGCTTCACGTTGGCTTGTTAGTGTAAGCACTGTAGCTGTGAGGATAAAAAAATAAATCCGAAATCAAGCTTGTTGAACATTAAGGAGGAATTTCTTGGCTTCATGGAAGTAAGAAAACACCCTTTCCAAAACATACACATCCATGAAGAGGTGTTAAAGGTTTTCCTACTCAAACAAGTTACAACCGAGAGAGAAATGCTTCACGTAACCCTGAAAAACCAGTTTCAGATATAAGCAAATGAGGATGTCCAGGATACAAGTGAAAACTGGCATCCTGTTTCACTATGGACACATGCCAGAGTGACTAATGTATTGTGGTTAAAAAGCCGTTTGTAAAAATGCAAAGGTAAAAAAAGGACTCGGGCTCCACCTCGTCTTCTCATGCATTTTTAGAGATTTTGATCCAAGCCGTTCAATTTAATTCAGAGATATGAATCCAATTCCTTTTTTAGTCTTGAACACCTCTCACACAGACAATGGTGCTGAATAGCCTGGGGGGGGTTCCGTTTGTTCCTGGGCCTGCTGGAACAGGATTAGGAAGCTTTTGGGGGTTTACCGAGGCTACAACCTCTATGCAAGGTCAGCTGCACCAATTGTGTCTGTGTGTGTTTGGGATTTGCCCTAAATATGCATAGGAGGTCTATCCTGGGCTCTGTCGAGAATGAGTGAAGTCATCTGTCATGAGAAAGTAGGCTGTGTGTGAGTGTGTCCCAAAAAGGAGAAGGATAAGCCTTCGCTTATCATGGAAGAAAAAAGGCTCCAGGGGAAATCTGCATTGATGAGCTTTTAAGGAGTGGTATCCCGGTCAAGATAATGGCACCAGTATATAGTGTGAAGCTGTGGGGGGCAAAAGGTGAGAGTGTGCTGTGATATCGTTACACAGGAGGAGCTCAACAGTTTGACTGTCTGAGATGGCGTGTGCAACAGGAGTCACATACGTGGAGCATTTGAAAGTTCAGCTTGAGTCTCCTGTTCGGTGCCAGATGTTTCTGAGTTTTGGATCATGATTGTGGAAAGAAAAAAAGTGGGACACGCTGAAGTGACAAATGGCAACAGTGAGGACGACGCCCGGCACCAAGGATGCCGCAAGGGCACAGTGTGTCTACGTCTGCAGTAAACAAAAAAAACTCTGAGCTTCAAAGCTTTTCTATAACTGCATTAAAACTCCACACACGTTCACACAGCACTGCTCCGGACATAAACCCTAACCCTAAGATTTTCACAGTGCAGTGGTGTGACTCTTTCTTCTAGGAATTCAGTTTATTTACAAGTCATTTGCAACTGCAATTATGTTCAATTCATTATTATAAACATAATAATGTTGTATACACGTGTGTATACATCCCCTTCTATCTTCCCGCCCTCTTGCCTGTTCCATCCCAACAAAAGTGAAAAAGTTAAAAGAAAAGTAAAAAAGAACGAAAACCACATCAGCAAAATCAAACAAAGCAAAAGTAAAATAACAGACACAAAGAGGGGAGATCGTCACCTGTCAAAAAAGGTACTTTGCTTATGACCAGTTCAAACTGAATTTTGACGTCATTGGGCAAAAGCTGAAATAATAAAAGATAAATGATGATCCTGCAGTCATGTGCTTGGTCACAATTAGGTGCTTATGATATGACAATGAGATACAACAGCATTGAATTAGGACAATAAAAGTACCAACAATAATAATAATAATAACGATAATACTGATAAATACAAAACAACAGTAAAAAAAAGTATGTGCATGCGTGTATAAGGAAAGCATAATGTTTTGAAAGAAAGGCAATTGTGGCCAGA